GAAAGAGGGGGGCAGGGGGGGAGAGCCCCCCGCCCTCTGAAGGTGTCTCCAGCCGGATGAGAGCAGGTCAGGGCACACGATCCCTGCCAACAGCCGCCTCTGCTTTGGGCTGGGCCCGGCAGCGCCCGCCGCCTCCCTGCCCCCCCCGGCACCTCTGCTGGGAGCTGCCCGGGCAGGTAACTGGGACCAAACCCAAGGAGACTTTGAGTCCTCAGTTGGGCAGGCAGCTGCCTTCACGCCTGGGGAGGGTGGGCAGGAGACAGGCAGAGGAGGGCGGGCAAGGTGGCACCCCCCAGCCTGGTGGTACCTGGAGATGTTCCTCGATGTCCTTCCTGTCATAGGTGATCCCGCTGGGCGTGATGCAGGGTTCTCTCATCAGCTCAAAACTGATCTTCCCGCACAGGTAGTCGGGGATGTCCCGCTTCTGGCTCAAGAGAAGCAGAGCTTGGGTCACGAGGGGCTGGGCCAGCCCAGCATCAGGAGAAAGAAAAAACAACACAAAAAAGGGCTGGCTCAGAGGGGGAATGGGGGAAAATGGGAGAGTTGGTAGCGCACACACCTTCCTCTTCTCATCCACTTGAGAGAAGAGCTCGTCCATGTCCGCCAGGTACTTGTCCTGAAAGAGAAGGCCTTGAGGATGAGGGGACCCCAATGTTGGGGGGCTACGGGTCCCCAGGGATCGAGCCCTGAAGCCTCCCAGCTGCAGCAGGCAGAGACGAGGTGGCAGGTCCCCAGTGGCCCCTCGGCCTTCACAGCCCCCGGCCCCTGTTCGCGCGGCTCCAGGCTGAACCACGTGGCAGGAGTGATCCAGCTTAAAAATAACCTGCCTTTGTGGGGCTATTTTTATCCCGGGATTAGTCCCCTGCACCAGGCAAGCACCCAGACCCACACGCAGCCATTGGGAGAACAGGTACAGCAGCTGGGGGAGCGCAAACAGGCGTCACTGCTGCCAGGCTGGGACAAGAGGTGACAGAGCAGGGGCAGCCATCATGGGGGGACATGAAAGCCCCACAACAGCAGCTCAAGCTACAAAATGAAGGCTGAAAAGCCGGGC